TTTTGAATTTTTGCTTCATGCCATCACCACATACTGGTATTGCATTGTCTGAAAAGCTTTATGCATTATTGTGTGAGTGGGGAATTGAATACAAGGTTTTCACTCTTACTTTGGACAATGCCTCTGCTAATGATGTGTCCGTTGATCTGTTGAAGAATCAGTTGATTGAAAACAATGCACTTATTTCTGATGGTTCTTTTTTTCATATTCGTTGTTGTGCACATGTTTTGAATCTTGTAGTGCAAGAGGGGTTGAAAGATATTGATTCAGTGGTTAAAAAGATTCGTGAGAGTGTGAAATATGTAAGAGGGTCCCAAATTAGAAAGAAGAAGTTTTTAGAGTGTGTAAATCTTGTGGGTCTTGATTCTAAGAGAGGTTTGAGGCAAGATGTACCTACAAGATGGAACTCAACATTCCTCATGCTTGACAGTGTCTTGTATTATCGACGAGCATTTTGTCATTTAGAATTGAGTGATTCTAATTACAAGGACTGTCCTAATCCATATGATTGGGAAAAGGCTGAGAAAATTTATGAATTTTTGGAACTCTTTTATAATATCACTTGTGTTTTTTCGGGATCTAAATACCCCACTGCAAACTTGTACTTTCCAACTGTGTACACAAGTTATTTGTCATTGAAGAAATCCGAGACAAGTGAAGATGCATATTTGTCTGCTATGGCAAAAGCAATGCTTACCAAGTTTGAGAAGTATTGGAAAGATTTCAGTTTGATATTGGCAATTGCGATAGTGCTTGATCCTCGTTACAAGTTGAATTTTGTAGACTATGCTTATGGCAATGTTTATGGAATGAAAGGGTCACCTCAATTTTTAGAAGATAAGAGAAATTTGGAGTTGTTGTTTGCTGAATACTGTAAGGGCAAGGTTTTTACAATAAATGTTGTGACTTCACTTCCTACTCCTATTGCTAAAAACCCAGCACAAAAGTTTTTACAGAGGCAAACCAAAGTATTGAAGGTAACTATGTTTATGAATATTTATATGTTGATTTTGTTAATTTAACATTCATTGATGAATACTAATTGTTCTTTATTTGTCTTTTTCATCTTGTTTTATATCTTTGTGGTTATAGGAGTTCAACAACTTTGAAAGCCAAGAGCAAACTGTTATGCAGAAATCATAGTTAGAAGTTTATTTGGATGAGCCAAGAGTACAAGGGAGTGTTGAGTTGGATGTTCTTGAATTTTGGAAAGGAAATCAGTTTCGTTATCCGGAGCTTTCTTACATGGCTCGTGATATCCTAAGTATTCCAATATCTACTGTAGCATCTGAATCTGCCTTTAGTGTTGGAGGACGAGTATTGGATCAATATAGGAGTTCACTTAAACCTGTCGTAGTTGAGGCATTGGTGTGTACTAGGGATTGGCTATTTGGAGATAAAGGTATATTTGTTTTTTTTCTTTTTTTTTTTTGTTTATTTATTGTCTTAGCTTATGTTATCTTAAGTCTTAACCATAGAAGTTATCTATTCTGTGTAGAAAATAACAAATCGATTCGTGAAGCTATGGATGATACTGAAGATGTTTTTAGTTTGGATATCAATGAGCCCACTACTGGTTCATCTCAAAATTCTCACAACCTCAACACCTCAAATGCAATGGAAGGTAACAAGAATTTCCTTGTGGCATGCCTAAGCTATAACTTTCATTTCATTAATAAAATGTTTTCTTTTTTACTTGCATACATTTTGTATTGGTCTCACTTGGGAGATGTAAAAGAAGGTGATGATAATGGAACAGTTTGTGCAAGTAGTAATGCAACCGACTTCTTGTAGTTGGGGTTAAGATTTGTGTTACTTGCATACATTTTGTATTGGTCTCACTTGGGAGATGTAAAAGAAGGTGATGATAATGGAACAGTTTGTGCAAGTAGTAATGCAACTGAATTCTTGTAGTTGGACTTGGAGTTAAGATTTGTGTTACTTGCATACATTTTGTATTGGTATCACTTGAGAGATGTAAAAGAAGGTGATGATAATGGAACTTACATTTAAATATATTTTCATGAAACATTATTTTCAATTTCATCGTTTTTTCCCTACCAATTGTACTGTTTTAAAATTTCTTGAACAATATTAGTTTGACAGGTCATAAACGTGTTTTATTCGTGTTGGCCCGTCACGACACGTTTAATAATCGTGTTCGCGTGTCGTGTCGTGTTAATCGTGTTATTAACGGTTCGTGTTCGTGTTTGGGTTTTTGACACGTTTATTAATCGTGACGTGTTCGTGCTCACTGTAATCATGTCGGGCCGTAATCGTGTCGGCCCGAACACGGCCCGCGAACAC